ATTATTATTATTATTATTAAGAATGGATGGCCATCTTTCAGTAGTGCTTTGACTGTCCCTTACATTCACGAAGGCAGAAAGTGGTTTGTTATTATTATTATTATTATTATTATTATTATTATTGAGAAGAAGCATTGTCAAACCAGAATAGACATCTCACCCACCCTCCTCTCTCTCTCCTTCCCCCCCTTTCCTTCTCCAGGTTAAAACTATTATATTAATTATATTTATTATTATTATTATTATTATTATTAAGAATGGATGGCCATCTTTCAGTACTGCTTTCACTGTCCCTTACATTCACGAAGGCAGAAAGTGGTTTGTTATTATTATTATTATTATTATTATTATTATTATTATTATTGAGAAGAAGCATTGTCAAACCAGAATAGAGATCTCACCCACCCTCCTCTCTCTCTCCTCCCCCCCCTTTCCTTCTCCAGGTTAAAACTATTATATTAATTATATTTATTATTATTATTATTATTATTATTATTATTATTATTATTAAGAATGGATGGCCATCTTTCAGTAGTGCTTTGACTGTCCCTTACATTCACGAAGGCAGAAAGTGGTTTGTTTCACCCCTCCTCTCTCTCTCTTTCCCCCCTCTTTCCTTCTCCGAGGTTAAAACTATTATTTAAAACTATTATTTTCACGTCGCGCAACCGCGTCCGCCATTTTAACGAATTGATTCGTTAATATTAACGAAATTTCCTAAATACCGAACTTTTTTAAGGGAAAATTTTGTAATTATTTTAAATATCGAAACAAAAAAAAACCCCAAATACAAATCGATTTTAGAAACAAATTTTTCCGTTGTTACCCAGGCCTAGTACTGACACATTCCCCACCCCAGATGGATATTCATCTCCATGTTGAGTCTAGCTGGACTCATTGAATGTGGTCAGCAGAAGTGTAGAATGATTTTGCCACCCTTTTTACTGCAGTGAGGTAGAAGATTCATCAGGTGTTATGGAAGGACCCACCCTCATGAAAACAGATGGAATTTCATGAAATCAGTCAACAAATGAGCTATGGGTGTGCATAACTGGCTGACAGGTTAATTGAACTGAGAAAAATTTTATTGTGTAGCTAATAAATGGAATACAACAACTAAACGTGTGGAGAAGGAATGAGTTGGTGCCACTGTTTTCCTGCAGATATCTAACCATTCATACATTCTACACATGAAAACCAAAACTCTGTTTGGAAAAAAAGGAGATTCTCAATCAAATGGAGAGCCTGCAAACATAACAGTTTCATAGAAAATCAACTAATGGACGCTGGAAATAAGAACAGGAATGCAAATGCTCACTATCTCCTTCTTTCTCCGCTACACAGTTCTTGTTTCCATCCTCTCCATCCATTGAATGTGTCTATATAAAATCAATCCACACACAGCCTCTCTGTGTGACTGAGAAGCTATTTTACCAAATCCCAAAGTTCATGTAAAATGTTTTCCTATCTGTTACACTATACCAATCTACACACTTAATCATAAAGTCACCATTAGTAATCTAGTAGGATGAAAATGATTGTAGTAAATTTTTGGATTGAGTGTGTCCGTGCTTCCAAACAGATATTTCACATTTAAAATTTTATTTTTCTCTCTAGAATATAGATTTACAGGCTAATTTTGAAGAAAACTGGTATTTACATTTAGACTAACATTTCAAACACTTTCATGTGCACTTTCAGGGGGTTTTTTTCTGTAGAACCTTTCTGGTTTTGGTCTATTTTGAATGTCTAGTGGGAAAAATTTTTTAGGGATTGTCAGTGTTACCACTCAAATGTTTCCTTCATTCAAACATAAGCAAAATCTTCAACATTAAGGCAGGGTTCAAGGCATGTGCTGCGGTTGGTCACTTGATTCCCTACAGATACCCAAATTCATGGATGCTTAAGTCCCATTGTATAAAGCGCCATGGTCATATGGTGCCCCTTAAATAACATGGTCAAACTCAAGGTTAGTTTTGAAGGATTTGGGGGGGGGGATTTCAAGCTGTAGATTGTTGAAGGAGAGGAGAGAGAGGAGGAGAGGGAGGAAAGGGGATAAGAACAAAAGGAGGAAGTGGCAGTGGCTCTGTTATCCAGGACAGATATGAATGCCCATAATATAAGGATGGCTATTTTGCTTGTAGATTGAAAAAAAAAGACACTACATGGATGAGCGCATTTTGGATAGGCAGGTCTGTTCAGTTTTAGTTTCCAGAAGTCTTGTGTGTTCGTATGTAATCACTATCCATTTTGGTTTGTCCCATTTGTATGGCCCCGTTTCCATTTTCGTCTGCTGCTTCCAAAAATGGGTGCCTATACGAATGAGCTTTTCCATCCAAGGTCCAAAAAAACCAAAAAAATTTTTGGACCTTGGGCAGCAAAGCGCCAGGGCCTACAGCCGAGTGTGCCACATGCCCAGCTGTAGGCTCTGCCATGCCCTGCTTTCTGTTTATATCAGTTTGAAAACAGACAGGTTATTTTTCTACTGGTTAAAAGAAAGAGAGAGAGATTCAATAAGTTTATTTATTACAGCTAAAAACAAAAATGTAAATATAAACAACCCATGGCTTCTTGTGGTTGAAAAAAACCAACTGGCAGCTAAAGGCAATTTACCAGAGATCTGTTCACACTCAGTTAATGTGATTTTGAGAGGGAACCCTGTAGGTTGGAAATTGGCCAGCTTAATGTCATAATTAAGGGACATCCAGAGGGGACTCCAGAAGATTATAGACCAGTTAGTTTAACTTCAATTTCACAGAAAGGTTTGGGCGCTATTTTTAGATTTCTGTTGGGAACACTAAAGAAAAGAGCGTGTCTTGATTAAGAATGGGCAGCCTATTGTAGGGAAGGCATGGCCGTGTTTCACTAACCGAGCTAATAAAAGATGTCATTTAGAGATATTAAAGCAGAAGGGGTACAAAGAGATGCAGCCGGCATTCTAATTAAATTTTCAAGATGCCTACGAGGAACTTTCAGTGTATAGCAAAGGTCTAAAGGGAATTGCAAAGAAATGGAAGAAATGTGTCTTCTACTGAATGCCATATATTAACATTCCAGAGCAGCAACAAATGCCTCAGCAGTCAAGGATTTGATTTAAGCCTGGGAAATTGTCACCGGTTTGGAGTCAGACAGCCATTTGTAAGCCAGCAGAAGATGCTGTTGCAAAAGTGGTAAGACAATTTTCTCAGGCTAGTTTTAATGTCATCCCAGAGGAATCATAAAGCCTTTGTCATGCCACCATGAGCACTCTGAAGATTAGACACCTGCAAGCATCCTTAATGCACTTTTAGCTTTTAAAATCATTTTTTCATTGTTTCAATGTTTTCAAATTGGTTTTATTGGATCCTGCCATGAGATCTCTGGATAGCAGGCATTATTTTAAAAATTAATAACTAATAATAACATAATAAAACATTCTGAAGGTGGGTCATTTTCCCCATCCCCATTTTTTGGCTGGAATGTAATTACCTTGTACATCTGTGCATGTTTGTGAGCTATAGGCTATAAAATTAATTGTAGGTAAGTGCTGGCATAATTTTAATGGTGACCTGAAAGCAAATATACAAGCATACATACTCTCTCTCTCTCACTCACACACACACACACACACACACACACACACACACACATTAAATGTTTACATAGGTTTGCCAGGGAGAAAGAATTCAGAGAAGATCTGTTTGAACCAATATCAATTATTAGCATATGCCTGCTGTATTTGAAAAAAAAACTACAAACCTTTACTGGAATCTTAGGGTGCATCTACACAGTACAATTGATGCAGTTTGACACCACTTTAATTAGGAGCCCCCAGTGGCACAATAGGTGAAACCCTTGTGCCGGCAGGACTGAAGACTGACAGGTCGAATATTCGAATCTGGGGAAAACATGGATGGGCTCCCTCTGTCAGCTCTGGTTCCCCATATGGGGACATGAGAGAAGCCTCCCACAAGGATGGTAAGACATCAAAACATCCGGGCGTCCCCAATTATCTCACACCAGACACAACTTGCAGTTTCTCAAGTCATTCCTAACATGGAAAAAATAACACTTTAAATGGGTTGTTGTGGGTTTTTTCAGGCTATATGGCCATGGTCTAGAGGCATTCTCTCCTGACGTTTTGCCTGCATCTATGGCAAGCATCCTCAGAGGTAGTGAGGTCTGTTGGAACTAGGAAAAGGGGTTTATATATCTGTGGAATGACCAGGGTGAGACAAAGGAGTCAGAGTGTTGCGGAAGATTCGTTACCCGAGATCAGATGAGCACAATCAGGAAGGAAGAGAAAGGAGACAGCAACTGACTCCAGGCCTTTAATTCTATCAAGCTTGACAGGGTGTTCAGAAAACAATATCTGACACACATTGGAAGTCCGATTTGCTCCAGCATTTATATCATAAATTCTCAGGTTTACACATGCGCACATGGGTCTTGACATTTACACAATCTAATCAATATCAATTTGTCCTCAAGGAACCGAGGCCAAGAACAATTGTTGGCAAGATACTATAATTTCCACTGCTCCCCTTTCATCAGCTGACCAGCCACTTTCCCAGATGACTTACGTAATCTTTAGAATGAATCATAACTTCATATATTTCTCTTTATACATATGTCTTCATATATGTATCTTTAATTTATTCGAAGCATGCATTTCCCTTATTAATTCTCCTGTAATTACTTTCACAATACATTATTTTCCTCAGTTGATCATTTAAAAAGGGGTATGAAATTACCTGCTATTTTCATCAACCAGACAGGAGGTGGCGCTACTACTACATGACCTTTAGATGTTAGTTTTCGAATCAATAATATCGATTTAACTCATGAGCCAAGTTTCCTACCTCAGCCTTCAGCCTTTAGCCTTGGCTCCTTCAAATATTGACTTAAGATAGAGCCAGCCTAAAAGTTTTCTAAGCCATCTGTTAAATTTCTCTTCTACCAAAATCTCTACTTCCCACCCTCAAGAACGGACAGGTAAGCCTTACTACTCATTATTTTCATTTTAAATTATAATTATTTTATTTTTCTCCTTATGGCCACCACATTCCCCCCTTTTTGCGAGCGAATGTTCCACAGTAGCATCGCAAACTCAGGATGTCAGATCCTTATTTTAAAGCAAGAAAAGAACAACAACAATTTTAACATAATCAAACAAAATCATTTATCACAATTATTGAAGAATGTCCCATACACGTTGGCACTTCCACAGTGCTCCTCAATCTTCTGTCTGATTTATTTGACCAGCTTCCAGGTATGTGGTCAAAACCAGAGCCGTAGTCCTCTTTCTGGGTCTCATGGCGCTGTTGGTTTGACGGTATGAAGTCTCAGGGGATCTTTTTGCTCAGGAGTCGCAGTCCACTCAGGTGGTGCCTTTTTTATTCTGGTGTAATGGATCCAGGCTTTGATTCCTTCCACTTTGACAGCTGTGGGAGTTGAAAGCAAGACAGTAAAAGGCCCTTTCCATTTTGGTCTTAAAGGTTCTATTCTCCAGTCCTTAATCAGCACTGAATCCCCTGGGCGGAAAGAGTGTAAAGGAGTAGCTGGCCAAGGTGGTCTTAGTTCTTCAGTGTATTGTTGAAGTTGGGCTATGGCCAGCCCTAATGCTTGAACATCCCTTTTTAATGCTTGTTGTCCCAACTGATTGATATCTCCTTGAAGATGCCTCAATCCAAGGGGAGGTCTTCCATACATAAGTTCAAAAGGGGACAGGCCCAAAAACTTAGTAGGAGTACACCTAATATGTAGCAAGGCCATAGGCAGTAACCTAGTCCATGGCAAGTGAGTCTCTTGGCACATTTTTGATAATTTTCCTTTTAAAATTTGATTCATCCTTTCTACTTTTCCTGAGCTCTGAGGTCGATATGCACAATGTAACTTCCATTTTGTTCCCAATAGTCGGACCAAGGACTGTAAGACTTCTGATACAAAAGCAGGACCATTATCTGAACAAATGTGCAAAGGAATCCCATATCTTGGGATAATGTCTCTAAGAAGTGCCTTTGACACTTCAGCTGCCTTTTCAGTTCTAGTTGGATATGCTTCAGGCCATCCAGAATGAGTACATACAAACACAAGCAAATACTTATGAGGCCCACATTTTGGCATTTCAGTGAAATCTACTACTAAAGATTCAAAAGGTGTATTTCCTTGATATTGAACCCCTGGAGGTGGCATTGGTCCTGTTCTGGGGTTATTTTTAGCACAAATATGACATCTGGCTGAGGCTATTCCTGTTAGGGCAGTGAGTCCATTTATGTAAAGTTGTCATCCCAGTAGTGAGGCCAAAGCTGTTTTTCCCATATGGGTTTCTTGGTGTGCCTCCTTAATCATTTCCCAAGCTATCTGTCTGGGTACAAACAGCCTCTGGTCAGGCAACACCAACCATCCATCTTTCCTTACAGCTTTCTCACGCTGGGCCTATTGTTCTTCTTCTGGAGTATATAGCAAGTCATCTTTCCTTAACCAGTCTCTTACCTGCAAAGGGGCCATGACCGGCTCTTGTCCTCGTCCCTTTCGGGCCGCGGCCTTTGCGGTAGTGTCAGCATACCAGTTTCCAAAGGTCACAGGATCCTCGCCATATTGATGTCCTTTACAATGCATCACTGCTACTTTAGCAGGAATCCAGACAGCATCTAGCAATCTCAGAATGGTCTCACTATGTCGTATTTCTTTCCCAGCAGAATTTAACAGTCCCTTTTCTTTATATAAAGCTCCATGTGCATGCAGAGTAGTAAATGCATATTTTGAATCTGTATAAATGTTGACTGTTTTTCCTTCTGACAATTCAAGAGCTCTAATTAGGGCTATCAGTTCTGCCTTTTGAGCTGATGTGTTTAGAGGAAGTGGTTCTGCCTCCCATACAGTGGTTGCAGTTACTACAGCATATCCAGCATACCTTTGTCCATTTTCAACAAAACTGCTTCCATCTGTAAAAAGAGTGGCATCCGCCTTAGGCCAAGGTTGATCTTTTAGGTCAGGCCTACTGGAATATATCTCATCCATAGTTTCCAAACAATTATGTTGAAGCAATTCTCCTTCAATAGGCAGGAGTGAAGCAGGATTTAATGTACTGCAAACCTGTAACTTGATTCGAGGGTTTTCACATAATAAGGTTTGATATTTTAACATACGGCTATTTGTGAACCAATGATGTCCTCTATATTCCATAATAGCCGTTACTGAGTGAGGAACCTTAACTACTAATTCTTGTCCT